ACGTGTGTTCAGCCTCAAAAGATCCACAGTGGGAGCATTTAAGGTACCTTTTAGGGTACTGAGCCAAAAAAAAAAATGGGGGATGATGTTTTAAGAATTGGTACCTCTTAGGGAGGTTTCAAGCCACGCCTACAAAGCGGGATCTTGGTACCTTGTAAGGGGTTCTTTTCAAAATTTCTAACGAGCATCCTGGCCATTTTTATGTGGGAGTCTCCTCCCCCCGGCTGCTTGTATGTTGTGTTTTAGCGATTTCTCGGCTATAATGATCAATAAAAAAACTTAACTCATTTCTCAGCTATCAGTAAAGTTTGCAGCTGTAAGTTAACTACTAAGTGAATTCTTTCTCAGCTGACGGTTCAAATTTTGACCAATACTCAGCTATGAGTAAACCCCATTTTTGCTCTCCGAGAACTAGCAATTTGCTTGAGTTCGAATTCACAAAAGTTAACCTCACGGGAGAAGAAAACTCGTGGCAAAAAGATAAACGTCCGTGGACAGACTCTTTGAGGCCATTTCAGGGGCGGATCTAGGTAGAGGCTGCAGGGGGTACACCCCCCCNTGGCTTTTATATGTTTCTATTCCCCCCCCCCCCCCCCCCCCCCTGAGATGAAGCCTTCTTCTTTGTATTCGCTTTTAAAATTTGTTTACCTCACCAGTCAGTATCGCGATTCCTCAGTGGTGCACCCCCTCTTAAGAAAAATCCTGGATCCGCCACTGCATGATTTGTTGATCTATCGTTCCCTCCAACTAATCCAGAGATTTTGAAGCTTTTAACCCAACAAAATATTGTAAAACCTGAACGCTATTTCTATTTTGCCTCGTCCCTGAGAATGGCCACTTAATAGAGGTTCGACTGTACGGTATTTTTCCCAAAACTAACTTTTCTGTCTCAACAGTTACTATATACCAATGAGGTAAAATTTTGACCTCTCTAAATCTCTCTAAACTCTCATAAGCGACCACTTCCCGTAAGTGGCCACCAAGGTTTCACATTTTGGGTGGTCGCTTACGCAAGGTTCAACTGTATGTCAGTTCAAGGAAAGCTAAGGGAATCCAGTAAAGGTTTGAATTAATTTTATATACAAATTTTCATTATTTTAGTACAAGATTTCTTGAATCCTGAAACCAAATAGAGCCACACAAATTGAAATAAACTTCACGAATAGCATAAAAATATGGTCTATTATGATATGTATGTTTCCTCTGCCTTTAACAGTGCACTACTTTTCCATGAGCATGCATTGGATATGAGATGGTAGATAGCCAACAAGGTGCGTAGCGCCGAGTTCGCTATAATCATCACATGTCCAACGGGCACGAGTGGAATAATTATTGTTTTATTAAAAACGCACCTTAAATATAGAAAACTAAACTAAAATAAAAATAAAAACACCAAAAAAATTCAGGCCTATACTAACCAT